AGGGTGAGCCTGTTAGAAGCAGTGTCATGTCAAAATATTTACGAATGCGTTTCTATTGCGATTTGGTAGCAATACTCTAAATGTCACTCGATATTCTAATGCTATGTATATTCTGTTTTCTGCTCTAACTCCCTCTTCTTTTACTATCTGTCTATCTGCTTATCTCTCTCTTGTCTCTTTTGGCCTCAATCGCTCACAGATGGTTGAATGAGAAACCATTTCGATGCTCTTATTATTAGTGAACTCGACTGAATCTCTCTCTCTATGTGTATGCATATGTATGTCATGCTTGCTTCAATTTGATGAGATCTTTCTTGCTACATCTTTTTCCGGTCCTTTTCTCTTCTCCGTGTTTCTTCTGTTTGAGTTTTTCAGTTGACAATGTTGTCGTACATCGTTCCCTCCTTTCCCTTCCCTTCTCTCTCTCTCTACTCTTCATGTTTATTGTCTCTAGTGTGTGTGTGTGCGCGCGCGCGCGACAGAACGGCGATCATTATTATTAGAGAAATATGTAAGTTCGATGATCGACTTAGGAATAGTATACTAGAGCGTAACATGCGAACGTTTAATCGATTAAGTATGAATAATATCTCAGATATAAGCGAATAAGACAAACTATATGGAATCTAAGTGCATTTTTATTCTTGAGAGACAATAAACAATCGCGAAGTATCTATAGGAGAGAAGAAGAAGCGAATTACTCTCAGTATACGTGTATTCCGATTCATTGTCGTCGAAGTTGTCTTTCTAAAAGACTTGGGCTTTCTCTTTTCCTCGTTTTTTGTTAACTAGTGTAATGTGCCAGTCATTTCCATGCGTGCGTACATGCGTGTATAGCAGTAAAGGCTGACAACGATGATGATGATGATGATGATGATGATATTCTCCTGCGAACGACTTCGAAAGAACGAATACAAGCATGAAAAGTAAAGATGATGCTAATGCTTGTGTTTTCTGTCGATCAGCTTTTAATCTTATACACATATGCGTGCGTTTGCGCGCATCGTTGTCGAACTTCTCGAGTAGAAACGAACCGGAAGTAGACAACCTTGCGAGCAGATTAGCAGAAGTTAGTGGCATTCCTTTACATTTTGAATGTCCAAAATGAAGATGACAAGGCAGGATGCAAGTAAGCTCGACATAGGGGAAGAGAAAAAAAAGAACATAACAAATAATTTCCCATTTTTTGAATGACTGAACGACTGAGTAATACTAAACGATAGAGAAGAGCGTGTAGAAGAAGGAAAATCCAGCGAGGAAAGAGAAGAAAAAAAATATACGAATGAAAATGCACGAAAGCACAGGATGGAGGTTTTCAAAGAGTCTTAATTATAGTAGTAGTAATACGGGTAGTGTAATGAGAAGTATAACACGTTTCTCACAATGTAGAATTTCCCGACTGAACACTGCGACTTATCAGGTTTTGTCAGAGATAATACTAGCAGGTAAGATGAGCTTGTTCTTTATTTGCTCTAATTAATTTGGTAGCGAACGCGAGAAAAAGGGAGAAAGATGAAGCGGTAGCAGCAGCAGCAGTTTTTCTATCATGTCAAATAAATTGGCTATTGTTGTCGATTAGTGCGATGCAGTAGCTGTTGATTTATCAAAAGTTAATCTTATTTCATATACAAATACGAATTAGTAGCTCTTATCTCGTAGGCAAACGAAGAGGAAATCCGACATTTTAATTTCGTTATCGCATCGCATCGTATCACAGTACAGTACATTGTATTGCTTTCCAGTTAGTAACATTCGGCTTTCCATCAATTCTTGTTGATTCGTTAGTAGTCGAGGAACGAATTTGCTGTTTTTCACGAGACACACAAACGATGCGCGACGAGGGACCATCAACAATAACATTGTTGTCGTCGTTGTCCTCCTCACTCTTTCTCGAACAAGAGATTTCTGTGCCCTCATTCAGATTTTCTCTAATGACTGCTGACAGAGAGTAAATCGGGAGTCAACGAAGGGATCAGATACACGCGTGACTTCTAATTGTATTAAGTGAGATTCTAGTAACAAACGATAAAAAGCATGCGTTGTTTAGATGCTCAGATATTCCAGTATGCACATTCATCTGTAAACTACCAGAAGAAGAAAAGTGACAAACAATGTCGAATATATATGTGTATGTATTATGCATGAAACTGAAATTTTTCAAACGTAGACGAACACTAATCATGCTCATTTTTTTCATGTTTATTTCAGAATTGTATTCAATAATATAACTCGTTTTCTCACAAACACATCTCGAAATCATCATCTATTCGTTAGTAGTTGTTGACGCTGGGCTGGTTTCCATTCATTTTGCCGTCATCATCAACGGTTGTTGACGACAGTGTCAAATTAATCATTACTGTACCTCAGTCGCAATGTCGTCCTTGCTCTCTCTCTCTTTCTTCTTCTTCTCCTCTCTTGACTTCGCTAGAAATCATCCGCGAATATAGCAGAGAAAATCGACAGAACGAGAAACTAATTTGAGCTAGTTTTCTTCCTGTCCCACTACTAGTGCCTTCTAATTAGCAGTTATCAAAACTAACTATTCTCCCTTCTACCAGTACGTTGTTTGTTGATAATGTCGTTCTATTACACCTAGCACGAAATTTATCGTGCCAAAAGCCACCATTCAATCTCATCTCCTACTCCTGAAGTGTTGTATCAACAATGAGTGACAAAGATCTTTTCCATATATATATATATATATATAATCCATAGTAATGCAAAAAAACAAAATGAAATCGTTTGTTTCTTCGTTCTCTTCGTCTTCGGCTTATATTTATGTTCTAATATTAACGAGTAGCGAGAAGAACGTTCATTTGGTAATGCATTGCTAAAACCCTCATCATCAATTCTAATCGATAAGGAAACAACAGAGGAGAAGAAAAAGAAACCCAAACTGAAATCAATACACTATTCTTTCTTTTAGTATTAAATACACGCGTGCCCTACTGTCGCCAGTCGCCGAAGTAATTTCCATCATTTTTCATTCCAATTGCTTCTCTGATTCTTTTTATCTATCACTCGCGAACCTACTTTCTATCTTCGATCCATTCGGTCATGCTGTTTCCAATCATCTACACAGTTTTCTCCTATTCAATCGAAGTTGATCTTTATTAAATTTTCTCCTTTATGAAACTCGAAGAAGTACAAAGCGTGACGAAATCAAACGACAAGCCGAGTGACAAATAAGAATGCTCGGCAAACTTCCGGGTAAGTGGTGTATACAAGTAGTAGTCATTTCTTATTATACATGAGGTTTCTTTTCTAAATAAGCATTTATTCTCGTCATTTACTTGAACTTTTTTAGCGTCTTGTTTTAGCAAAATGGAGAAAAGAAATATTATTTATTTTCTTTCTCATCATCTCCTTTTCCGCTTTTTCTTCTTCTTCTCCCTTTTTTTTATGATCGCCGACGTTCCTATTCAAAGAAGCATATAGTTTTCCTTTTGATAAAACTGACAACGAGTTTTTGAAGATAACAACATGTTTACAAAGAATGAAAGTGGAGAGCGCAGAATAAACGTAGCGAATACGTCATTTCGAAGTTACATTGATTGACACAGTCATTTCCAGTAGAGAGACAGATGAGTAAAGACAGATTGATGGATATATTATGACAAGGTACGAACATAAGGACATACTCTTATACCGCCTTCAAGTTTCTTCTTTTGAAATGAACGTTAGATTATTCAAGACAAGGTAAGTTTTCTTTTCGTGCAAATCAAATAAACTTTTCCAAGTCCAACTCTTAATCTGTCATTTAATGATTAAAAGAAATCGACGAGTTCTAATCTGATTATGTTGCTAGTATTAGTTTTTTAATGATCAAATTATGAATTAATTCTCTCGGCATGATCGATGAAGTCCTATGCTTAGTTAACAATTAATGACGTCGAAGATGAGCATATCGAAGCAAACCGTATTACTAACCTGATTGAATTTAAACTACGAAAAGAAGAAAAACTATTTTCAATGGCATTTATCTCTGTGTACTTCATAGGAGTACCATGTTCATTATGTTTATACTTCAATGAACATGTGTATATATATATATTGCTCTTGTCAGTTATAATGAACTTCTATTCATTTCGTATAATAATATGGTTATCAATCAAACATTTATCATTTATTTAACGTATAAAAGAAACTAACGAAAGAAAGAAAAGAGAGTCATTAAAGTTTTTCTTGGTCTGTATACTGACGAAAACTATAATTTTAGTGCAATTATCAGGCCAACATTGGAAATATGTAAAACAGTATAATTTGGTCGCGACAGATATCTATACACTCCTATATGCATCTTCAATTACTATCATCGGCAACACATTCAATGTGAAAAGTTGCCCCTTGGCAACGGCAACAACAAGAACGGCGAACTAAAAGATTTCCCGAGAGATTTGTATATTGTAATTCAACGACATTTTATTACACAAGCATACACAGGATGAGACAATGTTAGATGTCTAGCTGAAAACAACATTCGTTTGTCTTTACTTCTCTTTCTCATCGCCGATTTTTGTTTCTTTTCAGATGTGTACAATCTTTACCTATAAACACAAAATACCTCAAGGATGGTGATGGAATATGTAGAAAGTTTTACCTCCTAGTTCTTCTCTGTCGGCTCGATGTAAGTTACAACAAAGCCACACTTTCTTCATTTAATCATTAGTCGCACGTTTTCTTTTTACTACCAATCCATATATATTCATAATCGTGCACATATACAAAAGTATAGACCATTTTTCGTCTTTCTAAGAGGACATTATGACAGTATACACCTTTATAGTATAGTTAGTTGAAAGAAATGAGAATTGAAGTCGTATATGTGTATACAAATGCCTTTCTTTTGACGTAAAACACATCAATAATATTTGACTTTATTATTTTGTATATACATATGCATATATATAGATGCCTATCGGTGTCGACTCATGTTACTCTAACCGATCTTACCATCTCTTATTCCATTCAAATGATGCAGCAAGATTATTTGCTCGATTATGGATAAAAACCGTTTAACAACCGCTAATAACACAAATCATACTGTTTATAATACGAATAAACTTTATCATAGTTCATCACCAACAATTGTCTCCATACCAAATGATGATATACAAATCCACGAAACGGATCGTTTTCTAAATGAACATGCATCATCCAACATACTTTCGGATTTACCACGTTCGCGGAATCTGGACGAAACAGATGAAAATGAATTACCATTTCCTGGATTTGTTGATCAAGTTTTTTATTGTTTGAAACAAACAACTACACCACGATATCAATGTTTACGTTTAATAACTTGGCCATGGTTCGAACGTATTAGTATGTTGGTTATATTATTGAATTGTATTACACTTGGCATGTATCAACCATGTGTCCATCTTGCGGGTTCACAAGTATCGAAAAAATGCGATGCAGCACGTTGTATTTGGTTGCAAGCGACGGATTATTTCATTTTTGGATTTTTTACCATCGAAATGTGTATTAANACACCACGATATCAATGTTTACGTTTAATAACTTGGCCATGGTTCGAACGTATTAGTATGTTGGTTATATTATTGAATTGTATTACACTTGGCATGTATCAACCATGTGTCCATCTTGCGGGTTCACAAGTATCGAAAAAATGCGATGCAGCACGTTGTATTTGGTTGCAAGCGACGGATTATTTCATTTTCGGATTTTTTACCATCGAAATGTGTATTAAAATGACCGCTATGGGCATCTTTGGAAAAGGAACATATTTAGCTGAAACATGGAATAGACTCGATTGTTTTATTGTTGTTGCGGGGTAAATTTTCATAGTTATCTTCGATTGTAAAACATGTCTCTTTCGTTTATATAGATTAGTTGAATCATTAATACCAGGTGATAATTTGAGTCTATCAGCTATTCGTACAGTTCGTGTTCTACGTCCACTACGTGCCATTAATCGTGTTCCATCTATGCGTATACTCGTCATGCTATTACTCGATACATTGCCAATGCTGGGAAATGTGTTACTTCTCTGTTTTTTTGTCTTCTTCATATTTGGTATTGTTGGTGTACAATTATGGAAAGGTTTATTACGTAATCGATGTTTTTTACAATTGAATATGACGACTATACCCAATCATCCACTGTTCGAGTATGTCGAATATTTTGAATAGGAAAAAGACTATTGAATAATTTGAATTCTTTAGTGATTTTCCCGAACGACCTTTTTATATGCCACCTGATCAAGATTCTTTTGTTTGTTCACATCCTCAATCGAGTGGAATGACAAAATGTTTGGAAATACCGAAATTACGAAAAGGAAACATGACATGTGAATTAGATTTTTATGCAGTACGTGAACAAATAGTCAATGATTATAATAAACCGATTAATGGATGTATTAATTGGAATCAATACTACAAGTTTTGTAATGTTTCCGATAAAAATCCTTATTCGGGTTCAATTAGTTTTGATAATATTGGTTTAGCGTGGGTTGTTATCTTTCAAGTATGTTGCCGTCTTCGCCTTTCTGTTTCTTCAACACTGTTTTGCTTTATTGTAGATAATTAGTCTGGAAAGTTGGGTTAATATTATGTATTATATACAAGATGCTCATTCATTTTGGGATTGGATTTATTTTGTCTTTCTAATTATTATTGGATCATTTTTTATGATTAATTTATGTCTTGTTGTTATTGCTAC